GTCGTTCTCTCATCTGCTTAATTGGGTTCTAGTTATTTACCCATACGACTTGTGTTAAACTCTAAAGATGTTTTAGGCAATATTTATGCTGTTCTTATTACTGTGTAATATATAGAGAGAATTTTGGTTTTCTAAAATTTTCTAAATATTTTTATTCCTTAGAGCAAAGAAAGAGGTCGATGACGTCATTGGGATGAAATGCGACATAAGCTATGATGACTTAGGAGAGCTGGTCTACCTGTCACAGGTACCTGTTTGTTTATTAAATAATTATTATACCACTCAGCCAGAACACTGATGGCGTGTTGTCGTTGGGCAACATAGTCACACAACTTTGTGAGTACAATAATTTGAGAAAGAAGTCTCTGAGGATTTGCAAATTGATGCCATAGATCTATCAGGAATTCAAAATTTAGTGACTCTGACCTCAAGGTAAAGGTCAGAGGTCAAGTTTGTTAAGAATCTCGTAAACACAAAAGCTCGAGGAGGTGGTCAACTCAAGAACAGCACTGACTCAAACGGTGCATAGACGTTAATATTATCGATTATCTGTTACCAGTTACAAATGTGGAGAGTTGATGTTTATTAAGGATCTTTGACCAAATAAGTATAAACTCTGTTAGGTCGTCTGTATTGTCATGAAAATGTAGGTAAGAATACACTGTGATTAAGACAGGATTGATACAGTAAGGCCTAAAATATCATGTTTGATTCTGCTGACACAGGTGTTTCAGGGGTCACCCGTCTGGCAGGGAAGCGGTTTATTTATGTATTCATTTATTTATTTAATTATTTATTTATTTATTGTAAGACATAAGCAGTTTTTAAGTGACTATGAAGGCTGCTTAGTTTGTGAATTAAAAATGATTATTTTTTCTCTAAACTCATCAGTATCATGTCAGAATAATTTCCTTATGGGAGTGAAAGGACACATTTTTATGTTCCTGCATGCACTAATAAACATGTCAGTCACAGTGAACAGAAAATGATGTGTTGTGGGACTTCCAGGGTATTTCTGCGAGCTAAAAAGTCCACTGGCAGGCGGCTGAGCGTACCACTGGCCTCTGCCAGTATTTCTTTTAAAACATACCCAACCAAAGTGTGCGCCGCTCATTGTGATCTTCCTTCAGGTACTAAAAGAGACTCTGAGAATTTACCCCACAGCTGTGGGCACATCTCGCGATGTTGCTGAAGACATGGTCATTGATGGTGTCCACATACCTGGAGGAGTCGGCGTTTTTGTGAGTTATTTTTCTTCTTAACATGTTTGTAACTCTAAAAGAGAAACTGAGTTTCAGGTTTATATGTATAAAAGGAATTGGCCCCAAAAATATTAACAAAACAGGTCAACTGTTATTCAACTGTTTCAAATGATTGCAAACAAATACACTTATGATTAAAATGCAAAAATTTAATCTTTTCATGTTTAGTTCAACTCCTATGTGAGCGGGAGACTGGAGAGATTCTTCAAGGATCCACTGAGATTTGATCCAGACAGATTTCACCCAGATGCTCCCAAGTAAGAACACACTGTTTCACCATGCTGACTTTATTCCGTTTCATGTTTGCACACACTTTATTATCTCAGACTAAATGAGTGAAACGGTTCACAGTAACTGAGGCTGTCTCTCGTCTGTTCAAGGCCTTATTACTGCTACTACCCCTTTGCCCTCGGTCCTCGCTCGTGTCTGGGACAGAACTTTGCTCAGGTGAGGATGACAGCGTAAGTCAACATGAAGACCCGCTCACCTATAAACACACTGACTCATCTCTGTGGGCGCTGTTGTGTTTTTTAGATGGAGGCTAAAGTGGTGATGGCCAAACTGCTCCAGAGGTTTGACTTCACTCTCGTCCCGGGACAGACCTTTGACATCCTGGATGCTGGCACACTCAGACCAAAGAGTGGAGTGTTGTGCACTTTGAGTCACAGGGATTACAAAAATAAATGATCTTAAAGGACTTTACATAAAAAGTGGTCTATTTTTGGTCCCTGAGATATATTAATTTATAGGGGAAAAGAAAGTACAGCTTCAACACTATGTCTCAGTTTTTCTACATGATTAAGAAATGCTTCTTTAGTAACTGAAATCAGCACAACTCTTTGAGTCTAAATTGTAGAAATAAATGTGTAAAAAGATCCTTGTCAAGAACAGAATGGATTTTCTCTTTTTTAAATTTTATTTTAATGAGGACTTTTTGTTTTTGTTGCTGTTTTTGTTTTTACAATAACAAAAACCCTAAACTTTCTGTAGTAGATGTTGAAAAATAGAACCTTTTCTGTCCTTAAATTGTTTACTTACTACTGAATTTCATTGCCGTAATATTAATGGCCGTGGGCCAATTTGGCCCCCGGGCCTCATGTTTGACACCTCTGGTTTAAAGGGTAAAACTGATTTGATTTTTATTCCTGTCTAAAACTTGTGATAAAAAAAAAAAGAATTTAAAGAAAAAATTGTGTATGAACTACACTGTAAATTCATATGAAATGAATGTAATCATGCTTATGTCTTCATTATGATAATATATGGTAACATTATGGGGAGTGCTGGGTATAATAACGTTTGCACTTTGCATTTTAATCTTGCACAAAATCATCACATAGTTTGATGTGACTTTTTTTAATAACCAGTGAGCCAAGGAACCTCTTGTGCCTGGATAGCATCCAAGTTTTTCATAAAAGTGCTGCATGTTATGAAAATGAAAATAAATTTTGAGATCCCACAGAATTTTTTTGTTTAAGTCTGCATGCTTCCAAGATGCTGTGCCATCCTGCTACAAATCACATCATCCCAGCGCCAAAGAAACCCTCAGTCACCTGCTTAAGTGACTATAGCCTTGACATGATGACACGATTGTTCTGCAGATTTTTGTATAGTGTGAATACAACAGCCGTGAGTCTGATCCAGGACAGTGATGAGAGATAGTGGAGCTTTTCACAGTGTGGATCAGCAACAACAACTTTCTCCTGAATGTGAATGAAACCAAGAAACTGGTGACTGACTACAGGAAGAAACCCCTCATTCAGACTGCTCTACATCAACGACACCGCAGCAGAGAGCATGGAGCACATGAACTTCCTGGGAGTTGATGTGATGTATGGTCTGTCCCTGCACACCACCTCACTGATCAAGAAAGGCTGAAAAGGTCACATCTGAGTCCAGATGTTCTCAGCACCTCCTAAAGAGGCACCGCTGAGAGTGTGTTGACAAGCAGCATATCTCTAGCATGAGAACGAGGACAAGTGGAGTCACCCTGCCATCTATTTAGGGCCTGGCCCAACAACGCTGCAAAAAACCTTATCAGGGACACCTCACACCCCGACCACGGTCTGTTCTCACTCCTGCTTTCAGGCAGACAGTAACGTAGAGGTGCAGGTCATTGCAGTTCTGTGGAAGCTTCTTTGCAACCACCATCAGACTGTTGCACAGCTCAAACAGCTGCTATTTTGTAGATTATTAAACTCTACAAATCTGTCAAGAAGGACTTTTCTGTGCAATCAGCTCATCGGCTCTCTTGTGCAATAATTGAATCATTTTTATTTGTGTTTTCAAATATGCAGCACTGTTTTTTGTTATTTTACATTTATTTATGTCTCACACTTGCCTCTTTTTAAACATCGCAATGAGGTTTTTTGTGTTTTTATTTGAGCTCATGCCACATATTTTTGTTCTGCATCGCTTTCCTGAGGTAGTGCTGAATGACAGTAAAATGAGTTTTGAACCCTGAATCCCTCTGAGTCAGTCTTGAGACCCCTGAAGTAACCAGCGTGATGGAGAACTGCTACTTTTCTTTTCTTTCTTTTTTTTAACTTGGCCTAAACTATAAACTCTAAACAAATACTTTGATGGTGGGTTTCTGGGCAAAGGCTGAGGGAATGGAGAGACTTGCAGAAGGAATGAGAGAAATGGAGAGGACCAGGGGTGCAAAAAATCTAATGAAAACTGTAAATGCTATAATTTTCTACTTTTTTAGGCAGGCATGTATGCGCTTTTCTTAAATTGATATATTCCTTTTAACAGGATGAGCTAGATGACGTCACACAGGTTAAGAACACGCTCCATCAGGCCATGGAAAAACACTATTATCTACAGTTGTCGGCCCAGTGGGAAGCACACATTGTGAGAATGGCTCATTTCAAATGCATTTACTGCTGTGTTGCAGGAGCATGCCCTAGTGTAGTGACGAGGACCCTAAAACTAGAGAAAAGTTAGTCAGGAAAGATGAGGAGAGAGAAATGGATTGTATCCTTCACCCATTGTGGGGGTTGTCTTTCTGTTGCCTCTCCAGCGCACCTGTTCCCAGTTCCATTTATTCCATAGCAGGTGACATGGAGACACAATCAGAGGTGCAGTACTATTTGTTTGAGCACCAGAGCACAGCTATTGTTGGAGTTGAGAGGAAGAAGTAGTAATTTGACAGCTTTGATCATTTGGTGTGTCTCTGTACACTGTCCTGCTTGAAGTGTGCTTTAGCAAGGAATTATTTAGAGTACATGTTTAAATATCCTACTTCCTCACTTTGAGGGAAAAAAAGTGGTTTCTATTTTCTGAATGAGTGATTTATATCCTTGAAAGTTACCTGACCTTGTGCCACAGTGCAATGATCTAGTGTTGCATTAACTGCTAGTCTTGGAGTGCTTGATGAACAGCTCATTGTTTACGCAGCAGTGGGTGGATCTGCATGTTTGATTTTGGCACAGATTTTACGCTGGATGCCCTTCTTGACACAACCTTCCTACTAAGAGTACATCAGCTTGTGACCCCCTGAGGCCCCTTTGTGTCGCCTTGTGGGACCTTTTGCGGCGTTAT